ACAGCTTAAACCGGACGCGCTACATCGCTTGGACGTGAGACACCCCTGAAGGTATACGGTAACCTTAAGGCTCCTACGGTTATTACCGGCTTATGCTTTCTATAAATGAAAATCAAATTTATCTCCGTTTAAAGGTAGCTAAGAGAATCTAGTGCTGCATCAAGATATTTATTTTTCAAGGAAGACGTGCTGAAAAAAGCCGGAAACCGCCACGTCAAATTGCGTGACAGTTAGTTGGCATTTCACTTCCGGTCTACTTATCTGCAAAGCACGATGGTCTGTGACAGCAAATAAGCTCGCAAATCACCGCGAAATCGATTAGTGATGGCTGTGTGTTGTAATTTATGCTTGATTAGTCTGTTATTTACAAGTTTACAGATATCAACAGCGGACTCAAAGATCTCAGATGTTGTTTATAATCTTTCAAAAGAGTCTGCGGTGAGAGAACCCAGCGTGTTTTTAGCGATCATAGCTCGCAATGCGGCTCATCTTCTTCCTAACTGGCTCGCATACATCGAGAATTTGGACTACCCAAAAAATCGAATTTCTGTCTGGTAAGTGTTCCTTGCTGGTAACATTAACTGCTTTGTAGTGATACAGCTTTGCGTTTTAAATGTGTCATACCACAGAAAAATCCTGATTAAGTTATAGCAAACAAACGTGGACGCAACAAGGTTTCGTTGTGGACTGATGGCAATGAAAGCGCCATTTAGACAGACAGCAATGACCGTATGCTAGACACGATTTGCGAAATTTTTTTCCTCATGGCGAGTAGATTAATTGCTATTAAAAATTGCATGATCCTGAAATCGCATAAGCTGTAATTGAATCGTGAATGTGGCACATGCTGTTCAAAATGATCAAGATAAATGTTTGATGTGAATTGTCGTAGCCCTTGCCAACGTGTCATGAAATTCGACTCCCATACTTATTTGAGCACAGGCTGCCCAGATGTTGTATACGATCTACGTGACATAATGCTGTTGGCGATTGCGTTACGATTTCAGCCGAGAAAAGGAATTTCTTACTTTATGCGTGTCATGTGTTATTTGGATGTCCCTGTGTTGCTGGAGATGGTTTAAAGCCATTTAGGCGAGTTATAAATTTTGTGATGTGTTACTTCCACTAAAGAGAAATGAAAGGTGGGCGACCCAGTGGTCTAATCTTAATTCATCTAACCCAATTTTCAATGTGCAAATTGCAACGTGCAACGGTCTCTTGAGTTTCCCTCCTGGAAAACAGGTCATTAATGTAGGGTAATTTCTAGAACCGTACCTCTTTCTGTGTTCTTTGACTTCTTTTGGCTCAAGGCACCATTGTACCGTGCAATTTGCATGAATCATAAAAATTGTCATGTGCTTGGAGCATGATGTCCCTGGGGTGCTAGGCTCTTTTCATTTTGTCATGCAATCCAGAAGGCTGTAGCCAGAAAAAAAGAGTGCAGTTGAACCCTGCTCAAGGTGGCCAATATTAAAGGATTGAAAAATCATTTTAAAGGCAAAATGATTTCAGTTTGAAACAGAGGGAAGTTTGACATCATCGAGTTTGAGTAAGCAAGGTTCACTCCCTCTTGTCCTACCCTCATGGATAAGAAGGTGATGCCCTCCAGTCAACCTTTTGTCCTCTCTCCCCCCCAGAGCATCGTCCACTCCTCACCCCTTCCTTGCAGCAGTTTGTCAATGTTTTGCTAAAATTGGGGGCTCATGGTTCTTTCAATGAATTCTTCAGCCCTTATATTGCCTGTGGTCAGAAATTATTTTGGCAAGTGCAATTTCCAACCTCCATAAATCTGTTACATATGAAGTAGAACATAAACTCAGAAATTCTTTTGTAGAGCCCAATTTTCAATCCCTGTGATCTGTTCCATACACACAGGGTCGCAAATAAACTTGGCTGATCAGGAATTAATAATTCCAATCGACAAATATGTTGGAAATGCACCAAAGCTATAGGCCAATGGGACGTCATTGTTTTTAAGGATGGATAAAGATGTTTGAGCTCATTTCTTTCAGTCAAGCCTGCTATGTAAATTGTGATCCAGGGGATCACACAGCTAGGTGATTTATC